TAGTATAGTATAGTATAGTATAGGTATAGTATAGTATAGTATAGTATAGGATAGCATAGCATAGCATAGCATAGCATAGCATAGCATAGTATAGTATAGTATAGTATAGTATAGTATAGTATACCCCAAACCCTATTCTAATTATTAAGGCCGCTATATTACATGTACCACGGGCAGGATCTTGAGAAGCTTACATTCGTGGATTATGTTTTTTTGTCTTCCAGGTCTCACCCAATATGATCATGTAGTCTTCAGGGAGCTTTCATGTGATCTTGCGTGGGGAACACAGGCTTCATGAAGGGGCCTGGATCAGTAAATCATGGTGGCAAACACTGTTTGATTAACTATGGCAAACTGTAGCATCCGCAAGTTGAAGCGGGAGTAGCAGTCTTAACTATTGAGGTGCATGTGCTGGAGTCGTGACAGTCTGTTCGTGAAACTCAGGTCGCAAAAACTCTACACCCAAAACCCTGAACACAAAACCCCAGAAACTCAAACAGCGGACCTAAACCCCAGAACCGCGGCCTTAACCCAAAACCCCAAAGCCCCCAAAACCATGAACCCCCCTGCAGCAGACACCAGAGAGTTGGAACATCATTATCCTCATGCCCTTAAGGTAGAATAGAGGAAATCCCAGCACTAATTATCCTAAATCCATGTTCCAACTTTCTGGGATTCACTATCAACCCTAAACCCTAAACCCCAAAACACCAAAAGAAGCCAATCCCCGGCCTGGCGTCCTTCCTTTCGGCGCGCGATGATGCAGCCGGAGCCTCCTCCGGCCACCTCCTTCAGCTGCGACGAGGCCACTGGGGGCTTTGGGGGTTTAGGGCTCATAGGGTTTATAGGCTTTGGGGGTTTAGGGTATAGGGTTTAGGGTTTATAGGGTTTAGGGTTTAGGGGTTTAGGGTTTAGGGTTTAGGGTTTAGGGGTTTAGGGTATAGGGGTTTCGGGTTTAGGGTTTAGGGTGTATCGGGTTCGGGGCCTAGGGTATAGGATTTGAGATTTAGGGTTTAGGCTTTGGTGGGCTTGAGCTCAGGCTTCGCGGTGTGAGATGCAGGTGAGGATTAAGTTGACAGAAAACAATACTAGTGTCTACCATCTAGCAACCATGAAGACCAGTCTCATGGAACCAGATCTTACAGAAATAACACCCCTGCAACAAGGAGCAGTGAAAGGTGTGGGAGCTCTTGTTCGGAGGATCAGCAGCCCGAACCCCGAAGCCATAATTTACCAGCCCAGGCAGCCCTTGCAAACCCTACACTCAAAATCTCAAAACCCCTAAAACCCCAAAAGTCTAAAAGTCTAGAAGCTCAAAGCTTAAACCGAAAACCCTAAATAGCCGGAATTCTAAAACAAAGAAGAGAGCATAAACAAGTAAAGAGTTTCTGAAAGATCCGTCCTCAGCTTGGCGCAGCAGCTCGCCGTAGGCCTTCCGGAGGTCCTGTTTTTGGGGCATGAGGCGTTGCCGTCTTGGGGTTTATGGGTTTAGGCCTTTGCGGTTGTCAAGCCTGTGGAGCGTTAATGTAAGGGCAACCCTAATGAGAATACATTTTTGGCAAACCCTAAACCCTAAGCCCTAAACCCTAAACCCTAAACCCTAAACCCTAAACCCTAAACCAAGCACACAAGGAACCCTGAGGATGAGTATTGGAAATTTGTGTTTAAGCTACAGAGGCTTCAGGAAGAATGTAGGTACGCACTCAGGGCTTCCATACCAACTCTTAACTTGCCAGCATACATGCACTAATGCTTGGGAGGTGTCCGTATGGTCCCCAGATCAGGTTTTTGGCTACTATTCGAGACGGTCCTGGGGAGCATTGGTGCCCACTTATGCAGGGAACACACGACGACGTCATTATAGCATGCAAACTTAAACCCGAAAGTCAAACAGCGCATCTTTAAACACCCCAAGCAGTGTCCAGGTCACGAATAACTACCCCGACCTGTCTAATATAGGGGCCTTAATAATTAGAATAGGGTTTTGGGGCCCATTATACTATAACTATAATAAGGAACCCCCAAAACAGTGTAGTTAATTATTGACGCCCTTATATTATCCTGATACTCCTCAAGCCAAGGCCCTCTTGGGGTTTGGTTTACCGCTCTCAGGGACGCCCCAAGTTTCGCCCCAGAGTCACCAACAGTCAAAACGCAGATTAGTGACCATAACTGTGCTGGTGGAGGCAGCAGCAGCAGGAGGAGGAGGAGTACTAGTACTAGTTCTAGTACGAGTACTAGTAGTAGCAGCAGCAACAGCAGCAGTAGTAGCAAGAGTCGTCGTGGCAGTTGCTATAGAAGTATTGGTGGCAGTAGTAGTCGCAGTAGTAGACGAACTTGTATACATGCCAGAAGGTAAGAAATCTGGGCTGGCCCTAAACAAGAGAAGAACTGTCTTGAAGAGGCCCTTAGCCCCAAGAGCGGCAAATATCACACACCCCGGTGGCCCAATATAGGCGTCTCAAGAATACTATCCCCTTATAGTCCGTAAATAATTCAACAATATCCCACGGCCCCTTTAAATTGTAAAAGCTCTATAGCAACCCCCTAAACCCTGAACCCCTTCTCCTAGAGCCCTTATGAAGGCCCCTATAGTCCTATAGTAAAAGCCTAACCTTCACAACCCTTATCATAGAGCCCTTACAGACCTTACAGAGTAAGGGAGCCCTGTGAGGTCCCATCCTCTGGGAGCTTCAGCGGCTCGAACGACGACTTCAGGTTCTTAATGGGCCAATGCCTGCCATACGAACTTTGGGGGCTTAGGGCTAGGATGTTTAGGGTTTGGGATGGGGGGCATTTGGAGGTGTGTTGGGGTTGAGGGGTCTAGGGTGTAGGGGCTTCAGGGGTTTAGGACTTTTGGTGGTGGGTTAGGTAAAGGGTCTGGGTGCATGGCGTTTGGGGTTTGGGGCGGCTTTCGACTTGTAAGAGACCGAATGCCTAGAAGCAACACTCTCTAAGACTGCATGCGTGCACCGACGTGTTAAGGCGTCGCTTTTCGTGCAGATGGAAAATTTATGTGTTGTGTCTGTGTATGTTGTAAAGAAGCAAGCCAAGGTGAACACTTCCCAAGCAGATGCTGGGTTCTTCTCTAGCTGTGCTTGAGCGATACAAAATCAAGTGCGAAGAGACAAGAAGACCGATATCACGATGAAACTCA